TGGTTTGCAGACCACGACAGGGCGTAGTGAGGAGGGGCTCGCGATCGGCGACAACTCGCGTGCTAGTTTAAATATTCTGCTGCTGCTGTGTTTTATGAGTGGTGGGGCATTTTTTTCTACGTCTTCATTTATTAACGCATACGGAGTGCTGACAACAACGATTCGCATCAACAACATCGCATCAACAACATCGCATCAACAACATTTNCCTCCTCTACAGCTCGCGGCTTTCACTATCTGCATATCACAGAGGGTGTTCGCGTGTGGTTTGCAGACCACGACAGGGCGTAGTGAGGAGGGGCTCGCGATCGGCGACAACTCGCGTGCTAGTTTAAATATTCTGCTGCTGCTGTGTTTTATGAGTGGTGGGGCATTTTTTTCTACGTCTTCATTTATTAACGCATACGGAGTGCTGACAACAACGATTCGCATCAACAACATCGCATCAACAACATCGCATCAACAACATTTCGGGTGTGTGTACCAAAACAAAAGCAACACATATTCAAGGGGGGCGCACGACCCAGCCTAGACTACTGCAGGTACTTTCCGCAGCACGGGTTATGCTGTTGTGATGGTGCGCGCGGAAAAAACTCCCCCCACTCGGGGTCTAGTACTTGAGGCTGCGCCGCTGCTGCCCTTCGCCAGGCAACGTGCGGCGGAATATTTTTTCGTGTCAATTTACCAACCGTTACCTTTTTTCGTGTCAATTTGCCAACCGTCACTTGTTTTGGTGTCAATCTATCTCAGTCCAAAATTTTCGTGTCAAAAATATTATTTTGTTTGCCCTCCGACAATCAATTGTAGATAAATGCAGACATACTTTTTCACAAATTCTGCCGGTGCCGTTAGTTCAGCTCCGTGCTTTGTCTTGTTGTCACACATTCGAACAAAAAATACCAAATACCGGGAGCTCACGCTAAGTTGGCGTTGAATTCAAAGTATTCGATGCTCCAGAGCGTCTCGAAGTGGCTCTGGTCGTAGACTACCTTATGTCCAACAACTCGCCGCCCACCTTTACCTTGCGTAAGTATTCTGTCTGCAAACACTGGACGAAATGATCGGCGCCTCCTCATCGCTGTCCCGCCGGAAAAGTTTTCGCTTGAAATTGGATGGCCAAAGTTTTGGTGCAGTCACCCACTAGAGATTGGAACGCCGATCTATGCCAACCGCGGATCCCACAGCACACAAGACAGAAGAGGAGCGTGTCCGGAAACATCCAACGATCCAACCGCCCCCAGACCCCCCCCGCCCCCCGCCATTCGTCGTAACCCCCCAACATATTTCGCCGCGTGTTTGTTTGGTTATGCACTCACCTGCCCAGATCGAACGTGCGTGTCTACACATGTACGTGGCTATCCCCCGCCCCACCAAAGGTCTTGCCCTTTCATTCCTCTTTACCTCTGCAGCTAGGTGCTGTCGACAATCACATCTTCGTGGACACTGAGGGTGGACATCTGTGAAGACTGTATACGAAAGTATCGAACGTCGTCAGACCAGCTTCTGTTCAACCGCAACAGCAACAGCAGCGGCACAGCAGGTCTGCTATTCCTCGCGGCTGAGAGCAGCGAGTGGCTTTAGGACTTGCCGTGGTCTGTTATCATGGAAATACACTACATAGTACCGATCCGCGTTGTGCTTGTCTGGATGGATGTGAATCCCGTCCTGCGTAGACTACATGTACAACAGCAGTACGCTGCAATGGCCATATCTTGGTTTGTACAAAACATCAGTCACATGGCACGATCGTGCATAGCACATGATTGGAATGAAAGCCCCCTTTGTTGTTCGGCTGACGCAATGGCGCGCGCTGAGACTGTGGGCTCGGCACACGGTACAAAGTATCCAGGGTGCGGCCGGAGATCTGAAGTCTGAAGCGTCGGAGGCGGGAGGGGGGGTAGGGTGGGTGGTGGGCGTGTGGTATCTAACGTACATGTTACATACAGTGGGTGGCCCGATATAGTGCCGGTTAATAGTGCCGGTTGCCGGTATAGTGCCGGTGTTTTCGGCTCGCACACACCGGAATATCAAGTCTTTCTGTACTCTGAATAGTGCCGGTGCCCGGTATAGTCCCGCTTTGCTCTCTGAACACATACCGGCACTATAGAGGGGCCCCTACTGTACCTGCATCACCAAGTCTGGTATGGGAGGGGGGTGGCGTTGGTGTTCTTCAGCTATATCTTGCGGAAATACAGGAAATCTCAAACCTAGCGTCGCCTACATGACATTGGATTGAACAAAAACCTACTGTATCGTTTGATGTTGAAGTTCGTGTGTGTTGTAGGCATCTCGTTGCTGTGTCGGCTGGGTGCTGGGGATTCGCTTTGCAACAGTCAACACCCGCCGTGGGGTGCAAAATCGTCCTGCCTTTTGTCAAAAAATCATCCTCAAGTACGCTGTGTGGGTCAGTATTGGTGGCACGTGTTGTAGTAATTCAGCTATTGGGATTGAGTTGAGCGCACTCAGTGGTGAGATGTTGACGATGATTACAAATTCAAGGTGCACATGGGACTTGACTTGCAACAACCACGCGAGCAGGCAGCGTCGTTGTCTTCATTTGCGCGGATCTGCTTGTAGCGAGACCCCAACCGACCTTGTATGCCTTTCCCTCCATGTACCAGACGATCACCATGCCGGTCTCCAACCCTAAGCTCGGATTCGTTGGCGCCGGAATGATGTCAAGCGCCATGATCAACGGCATCATCGCAGCAAAGGTGCGCCACAACAACCGCAACCTGTGTTTTTTTGAATGGATTGGCGCAAGAACACAGCAGTCTCGGGTTGTCGGGACTGGGCACCCTGGACCCGGCGTCATGTGTCGCATTGGGCCCAAGTCTCATGACAACAGCGTTACAATACCGAGCTGACTGGCGTCTTGTGTGGCACTAGGTCCTGGTCTGTGTCTGTAATCAACGGTTCTGCTTGGCATCTGTGGTAGTAGAGTAACAGACGGCGGTGCATCATGCCACTACTGCGACGACTGGACAGCATGATGCCTTTCGATGTCAGCGATAGTGCTGCTTCAGCGCAACTGTTCTTCGCCAAAAGGTGGTGGCCGATCGCCTAACATTTTGAGAGGCATCCGCCGACCTTCTTGTACTAGTTTCGTGTCGGCGAATGGCTTAGTGCTCACAAAGGACACGCCGCTGGCAAGCGGAACCTTCTTTCTCGTTCAGCTGCTGAAAGGAAAAAGTTGTTGTTCGTGGTTTGATTATTGCTGCTGTTGTGCGTAGCCTCGTTCGCCGTCCGTCCGAGTCTTCCGACACGTGGATGAGAGGGGAGGAGGGCGCCGTCTGCGGTAACTGTTTCGCGCCGCGGTCAAATCGAGACATTTGGTGCCCGCGTGAGTGCCAGACAATTTTACGCAAGTGAATATTGGAAGTGCTACCTGGTAACGTTGTTCACCTTATGCTGCACACCGCTCCACCAGTACAGCTCAGCTTTTGCCGTTCGACGGCGCGTCCAACCGTGTTGGCTGTTCTCTTAAATGTTGCTCACATTCATGGGCCCAATGTGATGGGACTCGACCGTTGCGAAAAACTATCTGGGTTCCACAAAAGGTCACGGAGCCGGGGAACATATTCGCCAGCGACGTGTACCAGCCGAGCCTCGACAGGCTCTCTGCCTCTGGGGTCCGCACATCCACCACCAACAAGGAGGTAATGGTTTTTGCTTGCAACTAGTTGCTCTCGGGGGGCAGGGGTTGAACATCGCTAGGACAAAGCGTCCTCGCTCATTGATGTTCGTGCAGATGTTTTGTTGGAAAATATTCACCATTATTTTAGACTCGGCGGACGTTGCTGTTTTGTGCCAAGTTTTTTGTGCGGGGAATCTGATCTCGAACGTGCACAATGCGACGGCCTGTGCTACCTTTGCAGGCGTGTCGTCTTGTCGGCCGCTGTTTCGATTATTCTGCTGTGACACGCTACTGGTGCTCCCTGGCAGATGTTCCCGCGTAGAACCGCGTGCCGCGGATCGAACAACATGTTTTCAGGCGCACATGAACCCCGTGGGGATGATTTTGACACAGGGCGAGCTGGTCTCCTCCGCTGCTTTTCATATTTTTGTCGATGCCTTGCGGCGTTGCGGCCCTTGTTGATGGCTTCGCGTTTCGGAGATTACCGCCGCTCAACACCCACGCGGCACGCTTACAAGCGCGAAGATATGTGCCGCCTGATTCTCAAGACCTACTTTTGTGATGTTTTCCACCAGAGAAGCGTGCCGTTCGTGCAAGCACTCTATTCAACCCGCGCGTGTCCGCCGAACACACGGCCCGCCAGCAGGTGGTGACTGGGGCGGACGTCATCGTCCTTGCCGTCAAGCCGGACGTGATCCCGGCAGTCCTGACGGAGATCGAGCAATTTCTCACGGAGGACTCTCTCGTGGTGTCCATCGCCGCGGGGGTACCGCTCTCCGCCCTCGAGAAGGTGAGTTGAGCCGCGCGTTCGCCGAGTGCAGTAGCCGACGGACACGTACCACCCCACCTCGCCGTGCGCCTTCCAGGCCTGGGCAAAATCTGTTCTAGAATACTCTCTGTGATCCAAAGATACTCACAGATCAGAGTAGTGTGCTTGGCTCCATTGGCATCAGCACTTCGTGCAGCTCCAGTTGTAGTACCTGGCGTTTTTCTTTCGCCTATTCATTATGTGCTGTAGCCGTCGAGATAGGTATTGCTTTGTCGTGTGTTCGTGCCTGACCTTGTTCGGTGTGAGGAGCCCGAAGGCATCGTTGCGTTGCGCACATACGTCTCTTGGTCGCAATTGTTTTTTTTTTGTGCACTGTTGCGTCTGTGAGAAAGGCACCGATTTCGACCTCCAAAGGTAGGGTCAAAACCAAGTTTTTGATTGATCCCGCTTTGGCGCTGCGCACTGTTTTGTGCTTCCGTCAGGAAATGTGGACTTTCTTTTTATTTGCCCCCCGGATGATGCCCAACACGATCATATATCTTCTTGTACGAACGTGGTTTGTTCGGCGGCGACGACGACGAATATAGCCTGTCCCATGCTTCGCACCTCACCTTGTCCCCGCAACCCTCTGCTGTCGCGGGCAATATGCGCTACATGTCCCTCTTCACCCACACGCTTACACGCTTCTGTTGTCTGATATCGCCCGTTCCGTGTACCACTTGTGCCGTTTCAACTCGTTCGGTTGCTTGTCTAGCTCGTGCCCGGCAAGCGCGTGATCAGGGTGATGCCCAACACGCCGTGCCTTGTGTCCGAGAGCGCAGCAGCGTTTTCACTGGGGTCTCACGCCAAGGACGAAGACCGCGAGCTTGTGCAGAGCCTGCTGAGTGCGGTCGGCTTCGCCTGCGAGGTCAAAGAGTCTCAGCTGGACGGTGAGAGCATGATCAAAAGGGGACTTGAACTTCATGGGTGAAGGGCAGTTGCGTGCACGCTTACAGGGGTTTGAGAGTAGGCGGAGGGGGGGGAGAGAGAGGCTGCTGGATGTGGTCGAGAGCGCATGCGAGAGCACGGAGTGCCAACTACAGCGTGAGAACGCGTTTCCCTCCTGCCGAAAAGGCGAACCATGTGACTATGGCCCCATATTTGAGCCTGCTCCCACGCGTTCTCCCTCTTCACCTCGTTTGTCCGTCCTCGCCCACTCGCAAACAATACAAAAATAAAACGGCGCAGCTGTGACCGGAGTTAGCGGCAGCGGGCCGGCGTACATCTTCGTCCTGATCGAGGCCCTCGCGGATGGCGGCGTCAGGATGGGCCTGCCTCGCGCGACGGCTCTCAAGCTGGCCGCGCAGACGGTCAAGGGGGCGGCAACCATGGTGCTGGAGACTGGCACACACCCAGGCGAGCATTGGCTCCGTGAATGCATGTTCGCACCACAAGATTGTATATCTTCTTGAAGCTGGTTTTGAAGTATTAAAGGCTGGCGAGAGGTCTCTATGTTGCTCTTTAAGCTGCCCTGCAAAGTGCAAAAGTTGGTTGTAAATATATAACCCGACGTAATATTGCTTGCCGTGTAGCGCGCTCTTTCCTGGGTATTGTTCCCCGCCGGGAAACTTACTGCTTGTCTTGGTTTCGTGGGGTTGATGTGCAGCCCGGAACTTGCGACTTCAATATTAATTTTGAGATAATGTTTTTGAAAATTGCGCTGCTTTTAAGGGCACATGCCTCCAAGCAACGAAGAGTAGGTTACTGCTCAAGATGCTGCCGGATTCGCGTTACTGGTGGTTTCGGGGGGACACCCTCAGTGAGCAGTGTCGGCGGCCTTTCCACCGCCGTGCATGTGTTATTCCTGATTCAAGTATGCGACGTCAAATAATGTCGTAGGCAGCTAGCCGCCCCGACTTATCGAGGTCACGACGTTGATTTTGCTCTCGTCATCCTCTCTGCCTCTCGTCTTGTACCACCAAGCTAAGCTTCCGCCAGGAAGAGTGGACCGTTTCCCGGTCATCTGCCGCACATCTCACATCTCACCAAGTCCTTCCCGCCGCCGACTCTCCGCCCCCCCACGTTGCCGTCGCCTCCTCACTTTGTTATACTAAACGGGCACCGCCCATCAACAGGGGTCCTGAAGGACAACGTCTGTAGCCCAGGAGGGACCACGATCTGTGCGGTAGAAGCCCTGGAGAAGAACGGCTTCAGGGCCGCGGCAATATCCGCCGTAGTTGCCGCCACCAACAAGTCTCTGGAGATGCGCAATACCAAGAAGTAGAAGCCGTGGCACGCTTTTTAATAGCTGAGAATACACCTATGGAGAGAGGAGGGTTCGAGGTGATGTGGCGAAGGCGTGTGAGGCGTACCTGGTCATTGGGGAGAGGGGGGCGATGCACCATCTGTATCGTGTCACCGTTGTCATGATCCTGGGGTGGAAAGCGCGACCTTGTGCGGGACGGACGCTGTAGTAGTAAGAGAGGTCACGGAGGCCGGTTGTAGTCTAGTGAGGAATCGTTGCTGTCGTTGGGGGTAGATGTACAGCAGTTGTCGAGGGAGAAAGACGGCTACTGCACAGAGCTTGTGTCTTTGACGTCGATACTGCCATATCGTTGACTGGTCTGTTGGTTTGGGACATCGCTGCGGCGGTAGTTAACCCTCCTACGTGGTACCCAATCCCTCTGCACAAAAATATCCCGAAAAAATGATTTGTCAGCCATTGGTCGAGGGGCTACAGACCCTCCAAAGAATCTGAGCTCCTTGCCAGGCAAAGGGTGACTTGGCTTCAGTACAAGGAGTGTCCCCAAAACACGTGGGGACATCATACTGAAGCCAAGTCAGCAAGTTTTTCCAGCAGGCGATGTACGAAGTACAGTTTTTGGAGCTGGGGGGCACGCGGGTTGGGAGTTGTGTGCAGCAAGCAAGAGGCCCAGGAGAGGCATCACACAGCATATCACAAAGCGTATTGTACCACCTCAGCCAACCATGATAGACCAAGGGTTCTCACGCACGTTGCATACAGCGGAGCCTAGGGCTGCAGTGCGGTATATAGGCCTTGAGGGGTGTGTCCCAAAGTGTCCCTAAAGTATCCCCATTTGGGCCTCCAGTACTAGGAGGGTTTGCTTGAAGATGTCGGGCTCAGGGCCGATGATGCACCCACCGCGGTCACCGCCGAGACATGTAGATGTGACAGCATCGCTTTTGCATGTGGTGAGTGCTGCACCACAAATACCAGCGGCGTTATCTACATGTAGAGCCAGCAGGTTTCACCAGGTTACCACTTCAAGCAATGTGTGTGAAACGACGACAAAAGACAGCGCTTTCTGGCAGGCCTTTGTGGCTCCGGAGACCAATCATACTGCTGTTATACCCCTCGATCTCCAAGCAGACAGCAGACCTTCGTCCTAGCTTGCCAGCATTGCAGCCTAGTACTCCATGGAGCAAAGAGGTCCATCACGCGGAAGGCTTCATGAGCTGCATCGTCGAGTACACACCTGCGGAGGAACCTAAGCGAGGTGGCCCAGGGGAGGTGGTATATAATGTCATCTTGGCGTCGTCAGTTCTTGGCAGACGGGTCAACTGCGGCACCCTTCTACCCGCACTCAACGCCTATCTTGGGTTTCCGCCCCCTGGCGCGACCCGCTGCCGGCGCAACTCACTCAAAGGCGTCTCCTACAGCGGTAGAGGTGGGGGATCCCATTCGCAGTCCAACAGGTACCGCGGCATCGTGTACCTAAGCGCGCGTGGAGATTGCGTCTCGGCAGCAAGCTGGCAGCAGGCAGGGAGATACATGAGGCGGTTGAGCACATGGGCGATGCCGATCGCTCTGGTGGGTCCTCGGGTTCTTCAGGCCTTGACACACCACCACCAGCAGCACCACCACCAGCCGCACAGGACGCAGCAGGGGTGGGTCGGGATGCTGAGGGGGGGGGGGGGTAC